TAATTAAACCAATATTTTCATTAAAGCTGTTACTGAAAGTGTTTTGTTTGCTTTTCGATAGCATATACAGCAGCATTTATGACGAGCATCTAAGTGTGTTGCTGCAAAATTAGGCATTTCATCTCACACTTTATACTTTTTTATTTAACTTTTAGCAAGATTAAAAAGCATACTTATATAATACATTTATACTACATTTAGTTATAGTAATTTATACATATTGAGTAATACACAAATATATAATATAAACATTATTATATAATACAACATTATAAAATCAATTTATATTGTGCAAAATGATAATATTACATAAGATAATTAAATAATATAAGATAATTAAGTTATAATATAAATAAATTATGTAATATATATTGTTTTATAATAAAGTACTAAGAATTAAAATAACAATGGTCCAAAAAATTAACTGTATGTTAATTTTAAGATCTATTATAGTTAATTTAAAAAAATGATATTTAATCATAATTTCATAATATTTTTTAAAAAGCTTCTAGTTCTTACCGTTATTTATTTTATATTACGGGAAGCAATAAAAATAAACAAAAAAAAGAATTACAATTGAATTAAAAATATAATTTTTTTCAAATTTTGCGAAATACTTTTTAGTGTACACTATAAAGACTCAGAATCAACCACAAAACACTAAAATATTATCTTGAACATTAAAATCAATGATCCAAATTTTAGTGATAATGATAGGAAAAATGTAATCAAACGGGTTACTGATATATTTTTTTTACAAAAACAGCAAACAGCTATCTTTGATCCAATAATTCAACCTGCTACAATATGACAAAAAGGATGACATTGATTATGATAGTTTAAGCAGTGAAAGGAAATGGGAAACACTTGAACCAAGTGAAAGTGAAGAAACTGCATTTGATTTTGAAATTGAAGATATTTTGGTCTAATTTATTAAAATGAATATTTCTTTTGGTAGGATAAAAATAATACTATATGATTTCTCCATATTTTATTTTTGTTTTTATATTTGCGCAATATTTAATACATTTAAACATATTTTACAGCAATAAACCAGATATATAAAATAATACTGCATTTAATGCCCTTCTATTGGTTCTATTCATAAACAAAAAGGTAAAAAAGATTTGCTTTTTTTAATTCATAAAATGCTTTTTTTTTATACATGTCTATATTATATTAAAAAAATCTATTTAAGAAGTATATATACCAAAATCCTAAAAAATCTATGTTTACTATGTCTCTTAGAAATTATAAAATAGATTACTTCAAATTTTAACTTTCATATCACATCAACATAAAATATATTTTCTCCTAATTTCCGAAAAGAATATAAAATCAATTACGAGTTCATAAAAGAGTATGACAGTAAATTAAACAAAATTGTTATTAATAACTAAAATTTTAGTCTAAACAGTTGAAAAACAATTGTAAAAGAATAGAACTCGTCGTTTCAAGGTTTATTTTGAAAAAGATTTCAATTTAATTGTCACTATATGTTTATAGCTTAAAGATATCAAGGTTAAATTTTTAAAATTTAATATAATTTATAAAGCACAAGAACAGAATTCCTAGAAAACAAGCAAAGTATACAAATATATCTTTAAGAATTTTGGTTGAAACATGAGTTATACACTATAAATAGTCTTATAATTTTAGATGGTAAAGTCTTAATACCAAATAAGTTGAGATCAATTTTACTCAATTATTTATCAAGGTAAGAAAACGCAAAGGGAAGATTCTTTTTGGCCAGGAATGAATGCTTAAATACAAAACTACAGAGCTCAATGTTGTAGATGTAATGAGATGGAACCTTCCAACTATAAAGAGCTACTAGCAGAACCAATTCTACCTGATTATCTTTTTCAAAAAAGTAATAGACAAATGGCAGATTGCAACTATATAGTATACGCCGACCGATTTTCAGGTTGGACTGAATTAGCATCAACCAAAACAAAATCATCTATTATTTGTAACGCACTTAGAAAATATTTTATTAGTTTTGTAATTCCTCAAGAAATATCAGGGTATGTAGCTCTTATAAGATAAAATCCATTTTTAGATGATTGGGAAGTATTGCTTATCACCCGCCTATTAAACACAAAGCAACGGCAGAGCAGAGGCTGCTGTAAAATCTATGAAGCGTTTATTGAATACAAATATTAGCCCAAGTGATCATTAAATACTAATAAAATAGGAAGAGCACTATTGTTCTATAAAAATACACCAGCTCAATATATTAGAGCATCGCCAGCAAAATTATTATTTGGGAGAACTATAAATGATCACTAAACAAATCCAATACAGTTTAGAAGGGAATGGTCTAAATTAGCCGATACGCGTGAGCTAAAATAAAACAATATCATAATTTGATAAAGTTTGAATAACTCCAAAATCAACTCCCGCTAACCATTGGTTCAAACATGACAACCTGCCTGCAAAATGGCAAAATACATGACAAATTGTTAAAATCTTTCTGCATCAATAAAATTAAGTAAGAATAGAAATGAGCCGTAGATACACTCTGCAAAATTGAAGATTTTTACAAGAAATATTCCCATTGAGAAGAAATTCACAAAAAATATACCAATGAAATCTCCCTTAGGGATCGTCCATAAATTACGCAACACTAAATTTATTTTAAAAAAAGAAGTAGGAGATCTTAAGTACTTTTACGCGGTAGTTTTCAATAAACTCAATGGACTGTTCTGTTTTTTTATTTAACTAAAGACTCTGCGAAAAAAAACCTTTAATCTTTTTTGTTATAACTAATAATGAAAATCAGCGTTACGTAATTTATGGACAATCCCTTACCTGTAGATCCAATAATACCACCAAACAACTCATCTTCACCAATGAAGATAAATGAATGATCTTCGCCACAACAAAAGAACAACCTCTTAGATAATCAATAAGAATAAAGAATATACCAGTAAGGCTTGTATAATTATATCTATGCCATATTTAGGTAATTATCATTAATTATATATTAATTTCAAAGTATGACACTTAGTTTATTATATATATATATATATATATATATATATATATATATATATATATATATATATATATATATATATATATATATATATATATATATATATATATACAATGTATAAATATATATAATATATATATATGTTTAATATATATATATATACATATATATATATATAATGTATATATATATATATATATATATATATATATATATATATATATATATATATATATATATATATATATATATATATATATACACACTCTTGCATGATAGTTAAAATGAGTTTCCCATAAACTGTAGTTTTAAAGAGCGCGTTAATAAACCAGACCAGAAAAAGTTTAAAAACTTAATTTTTTTTTTTTTTAAATGATAGACTGCCTGCCCAAACCAAACCCTCAGTCGATGTAGCAGCACTCCCTTGCGAGTCAGGCTATTTGTCAGTCGTTGTAGCAGCACTCCCTTGCGAGTCAGGCTATTTGTCAGTTGATGTAGCAGCACTCCCTTGCGAGTCAGGCTATTTGTCAGTCGATGTAGCAGCACTCCGTTGCGAGTCAGGCTATTAGATAGTCAATGTAGAAACACTCCCTTGTAGCAGCAGGCTATAAGATAGTCGATGTAGCAACATTTACTTATGTAAATGTTGTTTAATAAAACAAAAACAAAAAATGTTTTTTAATAAAACAAAAACAAAAACACCACTAATTAAAAAAAACTTTCTAGTCGTTATTTTTGCGGTTTTTTAAAAATTTTTTAAAAAACAATAAAATTTAATATACTTCCGCATTAATTTAATTGCTTTGACATTTCGATGACAATCAAATACAGCTTAAGAGACGAGGTAATTAAAATTGTAGTTGAAAGAGACTTTTTTTACATTAAAAGACTCTTTCGACTACACTATAAGGATATATATATATATATATATATATATATATGTATATATATATATATATATATATATATATATATATATATATATATATTATGTTTTACAATTTATGTAATTTGTTTTATGGGAGAAAAGAACAAAATTTATCTTTGCTTGAAGTTATTATACAACAATATTTAATAATATTAAGTTTATTGAATAAATGCAAATGAGCTTACATGATATTTTATAATTTCTAAATTTGATTTATTTAACATAATTAAATGACAAAAACTGAGTTATTTTTATAAAGAAACCTGTTATCTTCTCTTATCTGTTATCTATTTTATAAAGAAACCTGTTATCTTCTCTGTCATGTAAAGTTATCTATAAGAATACACTTTCCAACATATTCCAACATTTGAAAATTGTTTAGAATATTTCAATCAGATGCAAAAGATTCAATATGGAATGCACAATGCATAATGTGAAGACCAAAACTTTAATTGTCAATAAGTTTTTGTATGTATATTCTTTTTGCGCTACTTCAAAAAAATTAAATTTACTAAGGACCATCTATAAATTTTTTTTTAAAACACTTTGCTCAAAATGTTACACATATATTTTTTATTAGAAAAATACTTAATAACCAAATCCATCTGGCAAGTGTGCCTAATTAGCTTTCAACAAATGATTATAAATTTTTCACTTCAATTTTCAATAAATATTACTACTTTCCAGGTTCTTGTATTCTTATAAACTCTCTATAATATAAAAAGGTTGCAAACTCTGTATTAGATTAATTTTTTTAAATTACAAGTTAGATTTAGATAATGTTAAATGAAAAGTTTTATTACCTATTTTTTATGCAGAAATGAGCAGAACTCAGTCTGAAATCGTAATAAACAACATCTGCAAGAGTATTTCTAGCCTTAAAATTTATTTTTTTACCCAAAAATGTAAACTTTTAAATGCCACAAATTTTTTTTTTTATTAATTGATGGATTTATAAATGCCAATAATAAATGATTTATTATTTTAAACTTTTAAAGCACTTAATTTTTATTTTAGAAATCTTTTGATTAGCTATACTATTTTAAAAATCATATTAAATTTATTACATACCTTTTGGTGCTTCGACAATTGAAAAATTATTTTTTGTTTTCAGTACACAATTCGGTTGGAACTTGGAATAATAAAACTTGTAATTCCTTGGCCAATGGGTTTCAACCACTGGGTTGTGGTATAAATACGAGTTCTCAGGCTTTAAATGACTTTTTAAAGAACCTTCAAGAAGAGAAAGTCTAATGAAGTTAAAGACTAAACCATCTATTCTTTCGGGTATCAATCGGCGTAAGTTTTTATTGGCATACGACTTCTGATAAGCTACTGTTTGAAACAGAGATCTCTCAAATTCTCTAACAAAGATGGATGATGGCTCCTCTTCAGTTAAAGAATGAGTTTCTGGTAAACCAATGGAAGAAACAGTTTTCGTTAACCATTTATATTTTTCAAATATATTTGGCACAGATGTTGAAGATGGATGTACAAAATAAGGTTTGTTGACTGTATGAGGAAGGAACAAAAAGGGGATATCTCTAGATTTTTTGTGATTTGTTGTGACTTCTTCTAAACTTTTATTTTGAGTGACAGAAGTAATGTTCACTTTACGTAGACAAATAATTCGACTACTTTTGTTACTTGGTAAAAAGTTGCAAATTGGCGATTTTGATTTCCACATTTGTCAAGCAAGTTAACTAGACACTAGATATTTTTCGCTGCATTTCCGGTGTAGTATGAGATTTTTACTCCCGTGTTTTATTTACTCCCCAGTAAAAATAACGTATGAAGTTTTTACCGCGGAGTAAAAAAAAAGCATATGAGATTTTTACTCTCAATATTTTATTTTTACTCTCAAGTTGTTATTAGCGGAATTGCATATCAATAAAACATGCACTCTAGATTTGCAGACATTTTTAGTTACTTAAAATACCAAATATATCCAAAAGAAGTTTTAAATAAAGGCGATAAAGCCAATTTTAGAAGACAACCTAAGCCATTTATAGTTGATAATAATGAGTTATATCATTTAAATAAAGCTGCAAAGGTATGCTATTATTTCAAAATGTTTTAATAGTTTTGCCATTTTGCAACTAGATTCTAGTCACCAAATAAACACGAATATTTACAAATAATTTATTTAATAAATAATGAAAATTAATTTAGTTTTGATTCTCATTATATTGATGGTTTACAGCTTCTTTTTTTTATAGAGAAAAGTTATTTGGAGTAGAGATGAACAACAAAACATAATAAAGTTTGTCATGAAGGAAACGATGTCTCTGTTGAGTCTAAAGCTTTATCTGGTCATACAGGTATTAATAACACAACCTATCACATTCAAAGTAGATTTTTCTGGTATGGAATGATCAAAGATATTACAACTTATGTTTCCAAATATGACCAATGCCAAAAGTCAAAGAACAGAAAACTTCAGTCGAAACCATTGCTGCAAAATATTTCAATTCCTAAAGGCCATATGAAGCAGGTAGGAATCAATTTAACACAGCTACCAGAAGTTAATGGTTGCAAATATCTGGTTGTATTAATCGACTACTTCAGTAAATGGGTTGAAGCAGAAGCACTTACCGATAAAACTGCTAAAGCTGTGGCTTTTTTTTTGTATAAACAGATTTGTCGACATGGCTGTTTTGAAATTCAAGTAAATGACCAAGGTCGTGAGTTTGTAAATGAAATTTCTAAAGAACTTTACTCAAAAATAGGAACAATTCAAAGAATTACAAGTGCATATCATCCTCAAGCTAATGGATTAGTAGAGAGACAAAATCAAACAATTAAAAATTAAATATTAGTAAAAGTGCTTGATGAGGCTGCTTTGGAATGGCCATACATTATTGATAGTGTTTTGTTTTCTTTAAGAGTTAGAAAGCACAAATCTACTGGGTTTTCACCATTTGCATTGCTTTACCAAAGGGAAGCAGTTCTTCCTATTGATATAGATTGCAATTTAATTGACTTTAATGATAGTAACGCTCTTAGCAATGATGATTTCTCTAACAAAAAAAAAGTTTCAGATACCTTTCATGCAATGAATAAAATGAAGAATAAAATTTTTGACGATGCTTATAAAAATATTGAAAAATCTCAAAAAAGACAAAAACATGATTACGACAAGAGAATTGCACCAAATAATGAAATAAGCATAAATAAAAAAGTGTTACTAAGAAATAGCAGACGTGATGATAGAAAAGGTGGTAAACTTGTAAAGCCTTGGACTGGACCATACATTGTAACTTCTATTTCTAGCACAAATAACTGCACTTTGAAAAATCTAAAGGGTCAAATTTTGAAAACAAAGTACAACTTGACAAAGTTATGTTTATATAATGAAAAAATAACTAATGATGAGCAAGAAATCACATTTGATGAAATTAATATGCAAATTTCTAATGATAAGATCGGAAAATATGCAACTATTGAAATGAGAACTTCTATTTCTGAAAAATTTGGAATTGGTATTACCAAAATATTTTTATTGCAGATATTAATCTACTTTCACGTCCGAAACAAATTCACAAAACCATAGGCGATGGTAATTGCTTTTTTAGGGCAATATCATATATCATTACAGGCAGTGAATGCAGTTATGAAATTATAAGAGAAAAAGTTGTTAAACATATGTGTACTCATATTAATAATGAAATGACTTTATATATGAATCAATCAATAATAACGTATCTAAATGAAAGTGGTATGAGTGATAACACAACTTGGGCAACTGATGCAGAAATAATTGGGTGTGCCTCGTTCATGGGTATTGATATAAAAGTATATAGCAAATATGGAGAGAAGTTGAAATGGCTGACTTACCCTTGTAGTTTAACACTGACACAGCTTAGTGAACATGCTATATTCCTTAACAATTCAACTGCAAGTCACTTTAATGTTGTACTGTTGTAAAATATTATCAAAAAAAAATATAATTTATAAATTATCTTCTTTTCTTAATTTTTAGACATTTTTTAAATATATTTTTATTTTAAGTCTGTAAACAAATGTTTTAAAAACGTAAAAATAAGCGAATTTACAACGGTATGTAGGAGAAGGAATAAAAATGTTTGTCTTTTTAAATTTGGTGGCAATACTTTTTCATATGCCTGACTGATTCCACATTAGTAAAGCAAAAGCAAAGAATCCAGAAATAAACCTATATAACAATATGTGTTTAATTAAAAAAAATCTTAACCCTATCTGATACATAGGGTAACCTACGATAAATTTTTTTTTTTTTTTTGCAGATGTGAATTGTTAAATAAAAAAAGTCAGAAAGAAATAAAAAGCTGCAATTTTCAGATTCTGCAGGTTAGCAAGGTAAACTTGTTGTTTAGAAAACTCCTTTTCTAACAAGTTTGCAACAAGTACCATAGCCTAATAGTAAAATAAAACAATTTTGGATATTCCCCTTCATTTTTTAATAAAACAAGTACACATTTTGATCAAACAAGTACTTGCATATTCTATGATCTTTAAGTTTAAAAAAGATTATCTGTAAAATTTATATTTTCACCGTTTATTTAAAATAAAGAAAATAATTTAAGTTAAAAAAGTTTATTAAAAGCTTAACTTTTATAAAATATATTAATTAAGCACTATATTAACATAACGGTAAAAATATCTAATGAGAGTAAAAATCTCATAAAGGGAGTAAAAATTTCATACGCATTTTTTACTCCGCGGCACAAATTTCATATAAAATTTTTTTAGGGGAGTAAAAAATTAATGGGAGTAAAAATCTCATACTACACCGGCTCGCAAATTTATAAATAACTTTTTTATTAATTGACATTCGTAGACTTGTCAAAACACTTTGAATCTTTTTCTTTTTTTTCTATTCGATTTGCTATGCGATTTTATAATAATATATTTTTTTGTATTTAACCTTTTCTTGTTTTTTAATTTATAATTTTTTGTTCTTTGTTGCAAACTTAATACAAATATACAGTGCGGTGGCTATTGGGTTGGAGATCCCCTCAAAACCTGTCATTAGGGCCCCAAAATCATAACAAAATATCCACAAGATAATATTTCTAGAGTACATTGAAAATGAGCGTTTTTTAAATAAAAATCAATAGTTTATTTTGAGATGACAATCAGACTCAAATAATTCAAAATACTATCCATCGGCAGCTACGACCTTCTCTTATCTTTCAGGTAGCATGCCGATTCCACGTTGGATAAAGTTTTGGACTTTTGAGGCTATCTAGCCAACAACCCATTTTTGGTATCATCATATAAAGAAGGTAACTTCTGAGCTAGGCTATGTGTCATCGAACGCAAAAAAATGTTTATTGGAGGGGCAATGTCAGGTAAAAACGGTTGGCGGGATATCCTTTTGCGGTTCTCCAGATACCAATTGCAAAATGGGGTCGTTATACGTTAGCTAAGAACCGGCGAATATTAGTTAAAATTTGATTTATAAAGTTTACTGTAATATTTTGTCTGACTTTTTTTCCAAGTTGACTTCCCAAAGTTAACGGGAAAAAAAAGTCAGACGGATTATCGTCTATGTAAGGCGATGTTGACTTCGGCTTCGACTTCGGTTCCGAAGTTGAAATAGAAATTCGGCTCTCAGTTAAATTCGGTAACAATTTCAAAATTTCATTTGACTTTCAGTTAAATTCGATAGCTATAAAGTTTTTTTCAATTTATAAAGAAGTAGAAATATAAAGTAACTTATATGCTTTATGTATATCAACCTGTTTCTATTGGTTACAACCCTATTTCAACTCTTTAACTCCAAAAAGTGTTTCGGAGTTAAAGAGTTGAGAGAGGGTTGTAACCAATATAAGAATTAGCTTCCTCGACTTAAGTGAACCACTCGACTTTGGGAATATGAACTCGGTAAAAAAAATGTAGTGTGGTTACAGCACTTGCTTTAGAAGCAAGCGCTTTAACCACACTACAAACTAAAGTTTAGTTTAGACCTAGGGTTCGAAGCAAGCTTTAGGCATATTTTGCATCATCGGTAAGGAAGGAGGTTTTAACTTGCTAGTTTAGTACTTTTCTGATATACTCCGTTGCAAAACTGTTAGGTCTGTTTTGAATATTTAAAGTAAAAACAAAAAAAACGTTTTTTATAAAACATAAAAATTTTTTAAAAATTTCTTTTTTAATTGAATGTGTTTTTAAAATCCGAATTCGGCTTGCAGTTAAATTTGGTTTAAAAGTCCAAATTCGTCTTTCAGTTAAATTCGGTATGCGCATTTGATCTGGATTTATCTTTCATTTAAATTCGAGTTTTAAAAAGTCCACTACGCCGGTCCTTACAACTAAATACCTACGGACGTTTGGGAATGTAAGTATTTGTATTCTAGCAAGTTTGTAGCGATTGCCTGAATTTTTTTCAATACACCCTATATGGGATACTTTGGATATTCTATAAAGTCAAATTGTCCGATACTTTTGTAATGACTTCTTAAAAACAATTCCCTATGGATAATTATTAAAGTTTTGCCAATTTCAATTTGCATAATCATTAACAATTGTAACACCATAATTCCCTTGTAGATTAATTCTTCACAAAGCGATTCTCGCGAGAAATACTCGATCGATTAAATGAATATAAAAGCCGTACCGCTAGTAGTGCTAAACTAAAGAGTAGTAGTTACTAGATTAAACGAAAAAGAGTTTCAATAAGTTTTAAAAAAACTTTTAAAAAGTTTTAAAGTTTAATTATTACTTTTATCACAGCTAATCAAATAATGACCAGAAGTTATAAGAGAAAAACCAAACGGACATTCTTAACTGAA